TGGCTCTGCTTGTTCTTTACAGGCAGTAATGTAAAACAAAACTGTTTCTCTTGAGCACACTGGATTTGTCTTGATTCATCATTGTCTTACGACTATCCAATGTGAATTCAAAATCTTACTTAGATTTTCCTATGTTCTTCACACGAGTGTACCTACTATATGTGGTAGAAGCAGTGGAGGGTGAGTCCCAACTATATGATGTATGTGGTGTACTCTGGCACCAGAATTAGCTCAGGTACAGCCTCTGGAAAATGATCAGTTCATTTAAAACTCTACCTTGAAGAGATGACTCTAATTGCTTGCTGCTGGTGCTATGGACTCCATAGCTTTCCTGCTTTCACTACACTTCCATAAACATTTGAACGTGGTTTTATCTTGATTTCTCTGGAGGCAATGCAACACTAATGAGTTGTAAATGATCTTAAAAGATTGCTGTCTGCAGGACTGTACCATGTAAGAGAAGACCAGTGAAAACAGGCTGTACAAAATATATCAATAAGTAGAGATAAAGAATAAATTGGATTAAAATAAATTTAATATTTGTTTATGGCTTCTTCATACCCTGCTTTTCAGCATGTTTCATGAGCAAGAAACAGGAGCTGCCATAATGTGGTATTGTACAAGAAAGCAGATCAGGCTGACCAGAAACAGGCTAGTGGATGTTTGAACTTGCCCTGGAACACTGCCTGATTCCAGACGAGTTCTCCTAACAGGTGGCTTCATGACTGGTGTGTCAATGTGACACTCATCCAGTGAGATGACTGGATCAAAGGCTGCTTCAGACTGAGGAAGAGGGTCTTTGCTTTGATGAGGAAATTGCCAAAACTCATGTCTCATTAGTGTTTCCTAAGGTTCTGAGGAAGCAAAAAACAGTTTAATTAAAGGCTGATGTAAACAGGTTTATGCACACATTCCCTGCAGCATTTTATCACATTAGAATTGATCAAAATTGTTGCCTTGGGCTGTCTTGAACAGATATACATCTGGAGCACCATTTGTGCAAGGTGCTGATGAGCAGACTACATACGCTATGCTTCACAGCAGCTCCACTGCCTTCCTATGTACTCAGATCTACCTTGTTGGGCAATGAGATGATATAACTCCTGTTTACTTGAAAAAGACATTTTATTTTTTTTTTTATGAGATGCTTTAAATTTAAGACATACTACTGTTTGGGTCTGTGCATACTGTGTCTTCACAGTCATATGAGAATACAGAAAAGAATGATTTGGAATAGGATGGAGAATTAAAAAAAGAAACAAGCCCATTTTTTATATTTGAAGAAAATTCTAGGCAGTACAGAACGCAGTGTGTTCTGATTAATGCTGACCTCTTGATAACTTTGTCTAAGTGTTTTTGGCATCTTTCTGCTCTTCATATATACTTCGCATTTTTCCAAAAGTCTAAAAATAAATTACACTGTTAACTGTTTTATTTTCATTCTTCATGTAATAATGATTGGAATCCCATTCCTGAAACTTTGACAAAATCTTGAGAGCAAGTGGCCTATTTTTGAGACCTCTTGTTGGTCACTCATTATGCAATTAGCAGTATAAAACTAAGCTTCATGAGCAACTAGACAATATCTCATGAATTGGAGAAAATCACGGGTGCAAAATGAGAACATATGTGTTTTCCATTATGTAAAATCTACTGGTAAAATTGCATGTAATCTCACTTTTGCTTTATTTCATTCTGCTTTACTTAAAGTCACTGCCTTCTGAGGCTAAACTAAAGATAGTGGAAAAACTACTTTGCCTACCCCATGCCCCACGATTTTCATTTTTGTTACTGGTAACTCTCCAAAGAACTGTTACTAGCATGCTTTCTTAAAACAGCTATAAACCACCTCTATTGGTCAAGGAGAAGATGGCTTCAGCCTTTCCTCCTAACCTGTACAACCAGTTATTGTTCTGGCTGTCTTGTCAGCTGCATCTGTTACTCCACAGTAAAAGGACCATGAGTGCTCTGCTGTGATGTCGTGGGCACACACGGTGAGAGCAGCAGGGGGAATTGGCTATCCGAATTCCTTCACAATGGCAAGGGCATTGTTCTAACAGAGGACCTGCTGTGTGCACTTCAGCCATTAATCTTTTCAGTTGCCTGTGCTATACACAATACTTCTGAAAGTACTTCGTAGTGGTGTGCGACACAATGTACATTAAAATCTCTGTTCTGGCAGATAATGAATATTTTTCTGGCAGTGCTGATTTTTCTACTAATGTGTACCAGTGGCATTCACCTTGATGAGGAAACAGCCTTCTGCATGAGATGTTCATTGTATTTGCTTTGTAATGTGCTGTCTGTCTTCAATGTGCTGACTACAATTCTTTTCTCTGTAAAGTAGGAGCAGAGAAAAATAACACATTTTTAAAGCAAATGCCAGGGTTATCATAGTCACCAATATCCTTTTCAGTAGATCCTTTTCAAATTAGTGATACCCCTGGGGGGCTAATGGATACTCTGATTGCATTGCACTTCATATAGCATTCTTCTTCTAAGTAACTAAAATATTTTGGTTTTGAAAAACACAACAACTTTTGCTTGTTTAATGAAGTAACAGTCACCGACCAAATTAAATCTCTGCTGCATTCCAGCAATCAGAGCTGCTGACACATGCAGAACTTCAGGAGCTAGACAGCTCTTTCTTTCATAAATTCCTTTGCTGAATATGGGCTTTGCATAAGGAAGAGATTTCCCACCTCCAACCCATTATGTTTTTTGGTGCTGTCTTTAGTTTAGTTTGTTTTGCTTTGTTTTTCCTTAAGGAGCCTCAACTGCAATATTTTTAATTTGAAATAAAATTCAACTCTTTGTACATTCTCTTGTTTGCAATAGGCTATACATGGCGAAGTCAGTAAGATATGTGGTTACTTGTAACTTCTGTGACAAGTACTGATGAGCAGAGGGCTGTAGTGGGAGGCTGTGTCTACAGGCTGTCAGGAACACTTTTTCTCAGACTGTAACACTGCAGTGTTTCTGCAGAGACAGACTGTACACACAGTCTTTGTACCATAGTACAAAGACAGTAGTTTTATTTTGTCCTGTAACTCTTATAAAACCCTACTTCTGTGGAGGGATGAGAACTTTCTTGCTCTGATGAAACTAGGACCTTATATTAAGAAGCTAGAGCTGTTATGCAAGCAGAAAACAACAACAACAACAAAAACCATAACAAAATATTTCAAAGTCATTCCATAATTAATGTGTTCTTCTATCAGGGGTTGCTTATGCAAAACTTAGTTTAAAGGAATTGAGTCTTACATTTTTAGAATGGATTTCTTAGCTTAGAAGAATGTGTTCCACCAAAACTCTAACCATTTGGCACTTGCATTTTTGCTACCTGCTGGTAGATTCAAAGAAATAAAATATCTCTCCATTTTCTTCCTCAGCAGCAATTAATTTGAAGTTTCTATAAACAGCTAGAGGTGCCCCTCTCTGTACTCAGGGTTTATGATAACAACAGAAATTTGTAATAGAACAGTATAATAAAAAGCATACAGCAGCCTTTGTCATATCTGATAAAATTCAGTGAGTTCTGAGTGACTTTATTGTAAAGCCATTGCTTGGTCATGTTGACTGCTTCCCTGAATAAAATCCTTCCTCAGTAGCCTTTCTGAGAAGGTAAATATTACAGGGTATCAGCAGACGTCACAGCCGAGACCAAAGGAAAATGGGGAAGCTGCAGGGAGGGAGTGGTGGGATACTTGCAGGGTCTGGTCTGGGCCTGGTGGCAGTGCCTATGCAGAGCTCAGCAGTGGTGGCAGGGCAGCTGGGTGAATCAGTCTCTCAGTTTGAGGGTAAGGCTCTCACGGTCAAACACCACAGTTAAGCTACAGCCTGTACAGAAAGCACTAGTCCAATTTGGTCTCAGTAAGGTGCTCCCATTTCATGGGGATCTTCCAAGAAGATTTTTTGTCTCCTAGAATAATACAATACAGTGTGTTAGTATTAGATGTGCCAAAAATCACTTTAAGGATGAACATGGTACACATAGGAAAGTCAGCTGCAACATGGCCCCAATCCAGTAAAGTACTTAAGAAATGAGCTTTACTTTAAACATGAGTTAGTCCCATTGATTGGAAATGAAACCCACTTATTCTGCTGATGTGTCCTATAAAAATATTAAAATTAACTTTGAAATAATTTACTTTGGTGCAAAGTGAAACAAATGCCTCTTAAACTTTTGGAAGGAATTCAGTGTTTTTTTTTTTTTCTTCTTTTTCTTTTTTCTTTTTTTTTATTTGCCTTATGAAGTATCAGTAACCCTATATGATAGAAATTATTTGTTTATCCCTCCTATTGTGTTATCTTCATGTATTGAGCTCTGAAGAGATGGTTTTGTTGATAGGGAAGGAAGAGGTGGAAGGCCCTACTTGAGACATGGAAAACACAAAATAGAGAAGTGAAAGTATCCTTTATTCTTAGGAAGGTTACATTGTTTCACTATGGTTTTGGAAAGGGTAAAGGACAGGTTTTGAAATAACAGAATAATAAATACCATAAAACAGCATGTGTATAGCAGTTGCCCTACACACCTGAGTGTAGGTGTTCCATTAAAAAATGCAATTACTATTACATGGCTGTTGAAGGAGCAGATGATTTGGTGATGTTATGGGGAGTTGTGAAGTGTCTAGGGAGGTTCTGAAGACATTCATTTCTTCACTGTTTGGGTTGTCTGGCATGAAAGGAATGTAGTTTCTGTTTTGCAGGACAAAGACCAGTTAGTGGATTATTATTCTTTCTCAACTTGGAAAGTGATAGTTTAAAATTAGTTTATTGGTCATAGGGGAGTTGGGTCACCAAGCAATATTTATGCAAGAACTGCAAAAATAAACATCTTCAGTTTACAAAATCATGTGTTCTGAGATGGACGTCTAAGCTAATGACACTGTTTTTTGTTTTTGTTTTTGTTTTTGTTTGTTTGTTTTGTGTGTGTGTGTGTTTTTGTTTGTTTGTTTGATTGATTTTAATGTATTTATTTACTTCTATTATTGCAGATATGTCTTCTCCTACAATGAAGAAACCTGAAAAGCCTTTGTTTAGTCCTACTTCTCCCCAGGATTCTTCACCAAGACTGAGCACTTTTCCCCAGCATCACCACCCAGGAATCCCAGGAGTTGCACAGAGTGGTGAGGACTATGGAGGAGAAAGAAATTCCTCCCTGTTTCTGTTGTGTGTTCTCCTTTCCTATTATCTGAATGTGATACTTTTTTTCAGAATTACTTGGAGACCTAACCCCATCTATATTACTGGTGAGAGTAGAAACAGAACTGAATATGTTGCATAGGTTAGGGTAACCTTGCAGAAATGCTCATTAAACTCAGTTCAGGTAGTTTGACTGCTGCAAGTCACTAAAGGGATTTAGGATTAGCCAGTGAATAAAACAAGCTGTAAACTACAATAAGAAAGTGATGGAGGAAAAATACTTGCAGTCTTTTCTCCTTCCACTTGCATCTTTTTTTATTATTGTTGCTATGATTGTATTGTAGTTAAATATCAGAATAGGTAGGATTTCAAACAAAATAAATCATAATCATGTTCATTATTTGATACAATTTGTGAAATAAATACCAGTGCTGCTTTTCAATACTCTATCTAACAAAGTAGAGTTCTGATGAATGTTTTTCAACCACTGTATTTTTGAAACCCGTAGTAAATCCATACTAAAATTTCACTTAAAGTGTAAAGGAAATGTGATGGACTGCATGTTATCTTGAGAGCATGAGAGGAATGACATAGAAATTCCAGCATCAGGGTCTGTTTAATTTTAGAAGTGAGAGTAACCCTGATTCTTCATATGAGAATATGATACTCAGAAGTCTCCCCTCAGTGGCTCATCATGACTCCCTATAAATTGCATATAAAAGGATTCATTTATTGAGCAGAGCTGGGCGACTTGAGAAGTGAAGCAGATCTGAGCACTCCCTTTTATTTAACATACAGTTCTTCTTTGAGAAGTATCTGTTCTGTGATTTCTCAGATTATTTCAAAGTCTTATCTTTTAATTCACGTGTGACGACTACTTTCCCCTTAGCATCTACTTACTCTGCATTGTGAAAGTTAGCCTGGATTCTTTCTGGTCTCTGTAAGGTTTCCACTATACTCAGTCACATCAGAGATGATGGATGAGATGGAGTGGATAGATTTCTATTCATTTGTGTTTGTTTTGCACAAATCTCCCATATCAGAGCACTAACTAATGTTTTATGATTAAACTGAGCTGATGGGTTCGTGATTAAGATGAGTCTGTCACAAAATAAGTTTCTGTGATTATTTTTGACCCTACACTTATGTGTAGGCATTTATATTTGCTTTAGTGTATAATTTTTAGATGTATGTGTTCGAGAGGCAACATACAATTGTAACCTAATTCTGTAGATCAGCTATTTACTCACCAGGAAATCTGATTGCTATCTGCATAGCCTACTCTATTCTGTCAATGAGCAATGGTTTTGAGATTTGCAAGGTTTTGACTCCAAAGTACAGCAATTTTGGAACTTTCTACTGCAAAGACAAGTTTTTATTTGGCCCCAGCTCAAAAATAGCAAGCCATTTTAAAATGTAGTTGAAAAACAAAACAAAACAAAACAAAGGCAAGGGAGGTGGTCCAGTAGAGCACTGGTGGTGTGCTTGTGCTGATGAACTGTGATGTGATATTTGTGAGCAGTTTGTAAAATACCTTCCTTACACAGATCTGATTTTGTACCCTCACACTAATGAAAGCCAGCACAGTGCTGTCTTTTCTCCATTTCCCTTGAAGTCAGCAGCCCCCTTTTACCAAGTCACAAAGTAGGTGCCCACTGGGTGTGTGGCCAGGGGGGAAAGTGGGTGTCTGTGCAGCCTGGGAGAGGAATGCTCTCCAGTTCCAGCTGGGCAATGCAGCCACGGCAGGACATGCTGTACATTCCTTTCACTGTGAAAACATTGCTGGTTGTTTAGACATGACATATAGTCTATAGATAGAGAAGTGTGTGTTTGTAGGGGCTGGGAAGAAAGGGAATGCAAAGAAAAATATGTACAGGGTAGATCTCTTTTTGTTTGCTAGAGATATTTTCATTGGATAGACTGGTTTCCCAGGCCCTGAAGTTGAATGTTCATTAGCATTTTCACAAAGGTCATCTAATTATTCATGGCATTATTGCTGAGTAGTTATTACCCTATCCCCATACAAAGCAGGTAGAGTGCAATACAGTGAAAGATTACTATTTCATAGTACTTCGTGATTCTCTGTTGGAATGATGTGAACAAAAGCATATATTTTATTTATTTAGTAAAACATTTATTTTGTTTACTTGGGCTCTAGATAGGAATTTTTTTTTGATAGGAAAATTTTATAGCTCAAATGCATTTTATGCTGGAGAGTTTACTGTTTGAAGAAAAAAAAAAGCCATAACCCACATATTTGAGAGTAAGATACTGTATTTATGAATTCGAAGCAGAAGCTCTGTGCAGTGCCTTGGATGGGGGGAGGATGTAGAAGATATTCTGTAAAGATACCGTGAAGCAGGAGTACAGTGTATTGACTTATTTTTTTTTTTCTGTAACACAGAGATGAAGAATTTTAGAAGAAACAAGATGCGAAGTAATTTTAATTTTCTTTTATCTTCTCCAGTCATCTCAACTAGAACTCCACCTTCACCTTCACCATTGCCATTTCCAGCACAAGCTATTCTCCCTCCTGCCCCGTCTAGCTACTTCTCTCATCCAACGATCAGATATCCTCCCCACCTGAATCCTCAGGATACTCTGAAGAATTATGTACCTTCTTACGACCCATCCAGTCCACAGACTAGCCAGGTACTGTAAAACCACGTGAACCCTCCAAAAGAAGTCCTGTGTGGAATGTATATCTTTCAGGGTGTTTAGACCAATATCTTACTATTTCTGGTCTCAGAGCAAGCTAACAGATGGAGCACTTTTCCTATTCAATGTGGTTGAGTAAAGGGAGTGGGATATTCATATCTACTCACTATTGCTCTGTCAAGCACAAGAAAAATGTTTGCACTGAGTGACCCAGCAGCCAGTCCCAGTCCTGCACCCCTCCTGCAGGCTGGGCACCTCCATGGCCAGGCAGCGGGGAGTTTTCCTCACTGGCTTGAGTGCCAGGACAGAGGTGAAGCTCCTGCTTCAGGACGGTGTGCTACATATGCTGATACGTACATGCACATGTATGCACACACACAAACATACAGGTATATTTACAGACCAGCAATTAAAATAAACTCTGTCAAGGTAATGCAATGTTTCACAGACACCTGACATTGCACACATTCTACAACATCACCATAGTGAGCACAGCACAAACCCCTGGAGTTGATTTTCCTTCCTTTTCTAGAGAACATGCAGTAACAGATGAGTTCCTGGCTGCTACATGGACTCAAGCTTGTTTCTGATATGGGAAATTAATGTGGTATTCATTAGAGAAGTGATTTGTAAAGGACTGTGCGCAAAACTACTTTCCATGATAACATTGGCACCTAGCATTAACTTGTGATCTGTACGATGGGATAAACTGCAGCTGAGCCTTGGTCTGTCAATGCTTGGAGTATTTCCAGTGTCAGTGTAATGTAATCTTTGCTGGTTGGGCTGTTATCTGTTTTTGATGCCTTGTCTGAAATGCTCCTGTGGAGTCCTATAGCTTGTGCTCTAGCATGTATTTGGGAGAGCCTTGGGAATGCAAGTTGAAGTGATAGCAGTCAGATTTTCCTGCTCCTAAGAATTAGGTTCCTGTGGAAGGGCTGTCTTACCTGGGTTGAGAGGATTATGATAGCATTTTTGTATATATATTTTTTTTCCCCACAAAAAGGCCTGTCATTACAGGCCTTTTCAGTAAGAGTTTCAGACACAAGAGCAGTAGAACTTGAGACTGAATCAAAGTTTCTATGTTGAATAAGTGACAAGGCCCCTCTGTGCTGTTTGGAAGGTCATTGTGGCTATTGTCCCCACAAGCAAATTCTCCAGTCCAGCCGCATGACTTTTTAGACTTTCTATGCATTAAAAGAAAAAAAAAAAAAAAAAAAAAGAGAGAGAGAAAAAAAAGAAAAAAAAGTGGGAGTCCATAAAATCAAAATTTACTTTGAAGGGAGAGTCCTAACAATGTGACTTTTGTTGGTTACAATACTAATGCAAATTAAACCAAAAAGTGAAAATCAACTACATCAGCTTTAGAACACAAATTGCTATCTGTGGATGAAAGTCTTTCAGTCCCATATAGCATTTTTGCTGAGACTCAGCTGGGAACATTGCATGCAGGACCTGATTTTAATTTGTGTAAAATTTCCATGAATAACAAAGTCTAATTAAGACATCCATTAAAAGTCCTTAACGTTAATTCAGTGTGGAAAATCTTAGAGTTCTATTGGATTTTTTTTTTAAACTGATGTCTTAATTAGGCACTATTAAGGGAAAAATTATGCAAATTAAAATCAGGCCCTTAGTGTTCTGTATTTCTTAAATTAATCAGTGTTTCTCTTACTTAGATTTTTATTTCTTATATATATTAAAAGAGCAGATTAGGTGATAATCTCACCGGATTGTTCAGTGTTCTGATTTGGATCATTACTCAAAAAAATACAAAAAAATCTAAATGAAGTATCTGACTTTCAGACAAGTGTGTCATCTTTTGTTTTTAATACTGGGAAATGTATTCACTGAGTAGAATAAGTGCTTTCAAGTCTTTGCCCAAGAAAAGTCTTACTCTCTTCCCTTATCTTCCCTTAAAAGATTTGTCTTTAAACCTTAAAAGACAAAATTTTACTCTCCTGACCATTTCACAGTAGTAGTGAACTGAAAACATTTCCTATTATTGTGTTGTAGTACCATAGGGAATAACGGGACAAACTGGCTTCAATTTACTACTTTTGCCACCTTTCATAACCTTTATATTAGGCTAATGTTTTTCATTTCATTTGATGTTTCGTATAGTTCTTGAGAAGAAGGGCTGGGGTTAAACAACACCAAGGATTCCAGGCATTTGCACCAGCTATTCTCTGCGATTTGTTGTCATTAATCACTATTATTAATGGAATCTCTTTTAAATTTAATTTTTGAAAGTTCACCTCTGAGAAATCCCCTATATTAGAGGATTTGCATACACAGTCAAAATATCTCCAAACAGAGCCATTAAAGGATGGCTGTACAAAACAGTAAAATATTTTTTTTTTTTATGCTTAGAAAAAGAAGCAGCCGTCTGTGAAGTTTCAGTGACAAAAGAGAATTGTTCTGATACAATGGCATGCTATGAGCCAAACCAGTTTTTCTTTTCTAAATAAAACATGAATTTTTATTCAAACAAGTTAAATTATTGTAAAATGCAAAACTGCATCTGTAGGAATACCACATCAAATTTAATTATACTTTCCCACCTCAAAACATATTCATTTGGATTTCAAAAGGAGAACTATGATGATAGTTTTAATTTCAGCTTTAGAAATAGAAAGAATGGATACCCTGACAGCATTTACCTAAAATGAACCGTTCCTCCCCAACATCTTTCAGTAATACACTAATTTAGATTGTTACGACAAGCAACTGAGATGCCTTGTACTCCCCACAGCAATTTTGAGATTAATTACATTACTACTGCACTGATTATAATGAGACAGTCATGCTATTCAATGGAATACTTTAAGTAAAATTAGTTTAAAGCTATAGAACTCCCATAGGTTTCCACAGGGGGAAACAGTGGGCAATTTTCTTGACATAATGTTAAATACTCCAAATTATGTGTGATGAACAGTCAGGAAGTTTAGATAGGCCCTTTGGCTGCAGTGAAAAACAATTCAACAATGGATGATCCTAAACAAAAGATCTGTGGCTTTCAGTTTCATGAGTATCTGTTTATTATCCCCTGTTCAATCTGGAGAATAAATAATCAAATATATTGAACAGAAATGGATCTTATCAGTTATAGAGCTGGACTTGCCTCCAACTAGGAATCTGAAAAATTCCTGAGATTTTGAGAATTGCTGTACTTTCTCCTAATTAAGTAATTCTGATTACATTTTTATTGTATTTATTTTAATTTTTTCATATTAACTTAGCATGTTACTTGACGAGATTTTTTGTGTGAGTATATATCTGTGTTGTGATGGTGTGCTGGTCTCTCTAGTTCAATTGATATTGGTTACTCATTGTATGTTTCATCAAAAACAAGTCATGTGGTATGTGTTTAATCCACCTACATTATTTATCCATCTAAAGTGTACTGTGGTCATCAAAACTACCCCAAATTTTGAACATGTATCTCCTTTTTGAATGATTGTATCTGGATGCTTGGATGTTTTATATGACTTGGAAAATTTTACCTTGTGTGTGTATGTACTCATGTACATTCACACATACAGATTTGCACACACTTAAAATGCAGTACTACTTGAGAGTGTATTAAACAATACATAATATCAAGATGAGACTTCCAACCAGGCTGAACAACTCACCAAGTGCAACAAAAATTATGTGGCTGAAGACAAATCTAATAGCTCTAAACTTAATGCCCCATCAAGTTAAAGGGAATTGCTTCCTGGTTATGGTGTGGTGAATCACAGAAGGGTCAGCAAGTATAATGAAGGAAATTATGGTAAAGCAACCAGTTAAGGTGGATCATACTGAAGTGTGTCCTGGCATCAGTGAGATTTTTTTTTTTCTGACTGAGCCAGGCAAACAGAAGTGGAAAATCTTGTAAACCTTTTGAGTTTGGATTATGAAGGGCACAGTTTACAGGTCAATTTAAATCAGATTCTGTGATATTGTTGATGAAATATGCAGATCCTAGTAGCGTGGTAAAACTGCTTCCAGTCTGGGGGAATGAAACATGAGACCATTTTTCTCTTAATAAATGCCTTGTTATATACTAAGGTACAAGGAGCAACTGTCCATATATTGACTAAAATTCCCAGGTAATTAAAACATACTTTGGTGCAATGTGGGCTGGTTTGCAGCTTTATCTTTTAACAGTTTTATCTTTGTGTGAAGACAGAAATATCTGAACTGCTAGAGAAGAGCTGCTTCTGGAAGCTGGTGAGGCCACTTGTTTTCCTCTCATAATTGATTGGGATATTATTTATTTTTTTATTTTCAAAGATAGACACACTTTTAAGGAATTCCAGGAAGATGCTTTGTCATTCTTCAGCACAATAACTGTAGTCATTTGGTAATGAGGATGGAATCTTGTGAGGGTCTGTGTGAGGGCAAAGGGTTTCCGACTGATTCTTAGAGAATACTAGTAGAATACAAGTGTTATATATGCATGTGGTTTCTTTGGTATGGGTAGCAACTTTACTTACCGACATTTAATAGTTTCAGCTTCTTATGTGAGTCCTTCCTTCTAATTTTTAAGTAATTTCTGGAAATTAAATAATGCAATGTGCTTTTCTTAATTGTAATTGTAGAGAGAGAGTACTGGTTTAGGTTTGTGCTGACCAGGGGTGTAAAAATGCAATTGTAAATGATTGCTTTGTATTTATTTTGCTCATGTTTAGTTTATTAAATGTAGAGTTATAAGTCTCTGGATTATATGAAATACCATTAAGTCCAAAGATATCTTTTGAACATTTATCTGGAAGGAAATTTGCTTCGCCATGATTGTATAACATGAAATTGCCCTGTTAAAACAAATATCAAAGGAAAACTGAGTATTTTCTATTGCTTTATATGGCAACAAATAATCCACATTTCATGAGCTCACAGGTAAAACTGTTGTTTGAGGCAGAGGATTCTTCACCTAGAATGTCTTTTGATATCCATGTATGAATGCTGGCTGCGGAAGTTCTGCAGCTGCTCTCAGTTTCAGCTGCATT